AGATTACCACGCATTTAACTCATGATATAAAGACAAAATTCTAAGCTGTTATTGGCGTAAATGTATTCCCTCGCAACTTTATGAGATTTCTCCCGCAAAAACGAAGTCTTAAACATCCTTACAACACTACTTACGGCTAGGCTGCCTCTTTTTAAACAAGACTCAAACTATGAAAACCTCGTTCAAGGTTCTTCTCGTTTTCTAATATGCCGCCGCCATTTTGAAAACGAGAAGTCCCTGGGAACGAGATTGAAAAGTATGCTATTTCGTAGGATAATAAATAATTTCTTCTTACTTGTATTACACTTGTCGTCTTCGCAGCAATCTACAATGCTTCCACTGGTTGCATTAGCATTACACTGGTCTTTGGTAACACATCCCTTGCGATAAGTCGTTTGTATTTTGCCCTCTCCCGTTCTCGATTCATACTTAATTTTTGCGCAGTAATGAACAGGTATGGGGCAATCTACGTCGTCTTGGTTATTTTGGCATTCATCAAGAGATGAACTGTTTTCACATCGATAGCAGGATATTTCTGAAACGGAGAAAAACAACAATTTCGAACAATTAGACCTAGAAATTTGCGCCGAACTCACTAACCCTAGTCACTTTTACTGATAAATATATGCTATTTCCCTTTAAGAAAGGATAACATTTGGGGACTTTTTATTTTCATTTTAAGACCTTTTTTATATGTCGCAGATCATTGATAAATATCAGATAAAATAAATAAATACTGATAACTATATAGTGAAATTCAGTGTAATATTTCCCTGGTGGTCAATTTAAAAAATTTCAATCATTTTGCTATCTGTTGATTTTGATTCAGTTTAGTCCTGCCTTTTTAAACATGATGGAAGTCATCAAGATAATGACTCGGCCATTAATCAGAGGGATGACGTAACCTATATGTCAAATCACATCATCAAGTCTCTTAACTTCTCTAATCCTAGACATTTTTTTATTTGATTGATACACTGCTGATTTGCCAAAAAGAATTTAAAATCTTCCATCACTGTACTTAACAAATAAAGAAGCTTTGATTGTGCTTTTCTCTGCTGTAAAGCACTCAGGAAACGGAAAGAGCACAAAAGATGTGTAGGGCGAACACGAGACGTAAAACAAACTATATTGGCAGGACGTAACAGCTCCTGGTTTTAGGCTCTCATCGAGCACGCTTTATCAACCAACCAGAGTGCGTTTTGAACTTTATTATGAACATTATTGTTGCCAGTCGGTTCCAGAACAACCGAACGCGAGGTCAAACTGAATAGGGTTTTAGATGCTGAGCACTGCATCCAAACTGTAATTAGAGCATGGATTTTGAGCTTTTCCCACCTCACCTGTATTACACAAATCACCATGGCAACATTCCAAGCCTTTTTGGTTGTCAAGTTTTCTGCATAGTTCAGCTGATATACACCCTTGTTCGGTGAATTTTTCATCTTTCGCGCTCTTACTACTGTACTTAAAACAGAGACTTTCTGGAAATGAGCAATTGACTTCAGTGGGAACAGATGACATGTTCCTTGGGCACTTATTATGACAAACTTTACCTAAAAAAAAAAGCAACGTTTTTTAATTCTGGACTAAAGACTTTAACACATTACCAAGGCCTGGGGAGGAGAGGGGAAAGTACTCAACAAAATTTTATCAGGGAAGGCTCCGCCCCGAGGGGCACCCTTTACCCTAATACTAATTTTTGACAAAAAAAGGACCTCTTACGCATACCTTTAATTGACAAATGGCATCCCTTTTACATACCAATTAAGAAAGCTGCATCGTTTTAAACGGCAGTAAATGTACCGCCTTTAAGCTATTAACAAGTCGCTAAACCAGACAGTTTCCTAGTGTTTTTCACAGCCATAAAATGCACTTGGGACCGCAATGAAAGATTTCCCGAACCTTTTATGTACTTTAACAAGAGTAACCTCTACCCTTTAATATACCTGAAGCCTGAAAAAGGCACCTCTTTCTGGCGGAGCCTCCCCATATAGGCCATTTTAGCAAGTATCCTCAGATACCAAAGTTACTGATTGTTTGAAAAGGAATTTTCATAATAAGAAGCATGGGCAACAGAAACGTTTTTTCTTCTTTTTATCCGAGCAGAGTCTAAGATACCGTTGGTTTTGTGCTGTTTTTGACCGGCGTAAAAGGCCGAGATGAAATTTTATGTAAAAATATTGGTAAGGAGACCTTGCTTCCCTCATTTGTTTTAAATTAAAGCTACTTCGTGGCCTTCAAATGGAAGTGTGCCACCATAATGAAATCACACCTGGGACGGGCTTTTCACAAAGATAAGCATGCCTTTGGCCACAGTCACGGTCTGTCTTTCTATTATCTGTCTTCGAGACTGTGCCACATAGTTTGGTTCCTTGGTCGATCCAAATGTCCTTTAAAATAAAAAAATAAAAAAAGCAACTAACCTATTATATCATTAATAAAGATGATGATGATGATGATGATGATGATGATGATGTACTAACTATAGTTTTTTTCCGTTTCTTTCCCGTGAGCCACCCACGTTTCATTGGCCCCTGGCTGGCTCTAAGTGTTAAAAGGTGAATAACTAAGCACTAAGCACTTTTTGAAAAAATAGGGCCTGATGACAGCGATGAGCAGTCCTAGAACATCATGTGAAGCTTGTCTAGGACCTGTTTCTATCATTGAAGAGCGGTTGAGTCCACATTCATGCTAGTTGGTCTATGATTGATTATAACATGTCATAAGGCGTCCCTCTACCCTCTGCATGTATAGGTTCTCAGTAGGGTATGCTACTGAGGTAAAGATTTAGAGGCATTTAGTACCTCTACAAAATATTTCATCATTTCCGATTGGCTGATCAATTTTTCGTGTATTTTCTCATAATTAGCAGAAGCCTACCATATTTGCGAGATAGAGGACAAAACCAGCCAATTCAATCAGGGTCATAGCCCTCCTCGATCTGCATAATTGTTGTTATCATACTCAGCTTTATTCAGTAATGGACAAATACTATATTTTTTATATCCATATTTATTTCATAGTGCTACCTGTTTTTTGGTCACTTTTACTTAATTCAGCTACCTCTTTGAAATTAATAGTGTCCAACAGGCGGGTCAGGAATCCCGTGTCAGTTTTGTTTACAGTACTATTTATTTTCACCAAATTGCTTCCAGAAGCAATGCATTCCTTTTTTGCTTCTTCCCATGTTTTTACAGTGCTGTGGTTATAGTAGCAAGATGATCCATTCAGATGTCCTTCATCATGATCAAGCGAGCAACTCAGAGGACCTAATGGATAGGACAAATTAAATATAAGGGCTTCAAATGAATGTCGTTTAATTTTCAGAGCCGCCTGTGTCCCCTAGTGACTGAAAAATATCTTTCTCATGTATTCACCAGGCTTAAAATTCACCGTCACATATCCATCATTGCGTATAAGCACATACCGAGATTATAGTCCTTGAAGTATGCAGGGTGTTTGTCAGGGGCACCCAACGACGGTTTCCTCCTAAATACATTGACAACACTTTTTGGCTATCCAGAACACTTTTAGACCTTTATAAGTGCATTCTAAGCGGCGCTATAAAAATTTTTTTCTTTTCGATCATCCCAGGGGAACGTAAATCTTTCCAAATTACAAGGGCTTCAGTATATTATTTTCCCGAAAATTTTAAAAGCGACTTAACGTATATCGAGAGTTCTAATTTTTCTGATTACTCCCCCCATCACATTTTGCATCCGAAATTGTAGGTTTTTTTATCTACGAAAAATAGCCTAGCCTGGGGAGTGAAATGTGAAAAATTTAACGTCAGAAAATCTTAGGGAAGTTATTGGACAAGCTTAGAAAATTGTTCATGAATGGAACGTTCATCTAGAAATTTGTTTAGCCGTCCCCAAGTAACAGAAAACTTTAGGCAATATTTGCTTCTCCCAAGGAGATATTTTGCAGAAAACATTCGTTGAGTGCCCCTGGTTTGTCACATGACCCTAGTTTAGTGGCCTTAGCACTCACGAGTATCTTGTAGCTCAGTAGTAGAGCGTCTGTACTAGCAACCAGAAGCTCATAGGTTCTACTGCATTTTGGAGTACTCAGACTTTTTTCTTTCGAGCCGCCTTTGTTACGAATGAAAAAACATCTTTCTCATAGATCTTATCGTCCTATTCCCAATAAAATCTGTAACTATGTAGTCGATAACTTAACCAGTCACACTATCCACCGGATAGAGAATTATCTGTGGGATAGCGTTAGTTAATCTTTGAACAACTGGCGTCAGAGCCTTCATGAATTTCAGCCGTTTTCTCAAGTCTCCCTCGGCAGCAGGGCTCTCTCCTCCGCGGAGGCCTCGAGGCTGGGGAGAAAGAAAAAGAGAGAGCGCAACCATCCCAACCTAAATTGTACAAACGACCGGTTTCAATAGACCGGCGAAATTTCTCATTTTATTAAAGCACTGAGGTTACGACAACTTCGAGTTAAACTGATTTCACGGGTTGTCAAAGAGTCCAGCGAATCCTTTTTCCCAGGTGAGCGCCGACTCATTTCGCTTCAATATTTAGGAATGCTGTCGATCTTTTTACGCTTTCATTGCCTCTCGCCCGACATGTTTTGCACGGCGTTTGGTCATGGAAAACCTCCACGAAACATCCACGCCTCGCGCGAGGTAACTTTATCCCGATTCTAAAAATAACTCGAAACGAATTACCTATGGAATAGGGTGTATATGGGGGATACCCTCTCTGTCCCCTTTATAGTCTCTTGGTTCTTTATGTGTGCCAAATTTCAATTCAGCGCTATCATCTATGCCGAAGTTATAGAAAATAATTCATTTTCCACAGGTAAACCCTTCAGACCCAGGCCTTAAACTACTTGAGCTGTCTCGCCAAAATCTCGAATTCAAGTACCCTAGAAACTAAGTATCAATAAGGTACTACATTATGTTAACATTGTTGCCGTAATTTTAGCATCAGGAGCCCATAACCCGGAGAGAGCAACTCCCATGCTAGGCCTATGTCACGGCGTTTTAACGGACCAGTTTATTTTAAGACACATTTTAGGACACTTTTTCCTGCGAAAATAAAATCTCCACCATGTCTATGAGCGCATTCGAAGTATAAGATATCAAAAAGGAAAACGAAATGTATTAAAAGGCAGAATTTATCATTTTTAGGTCTGTAGGTTTTGCTGACTGGTTTTGTGAAATTTAAAAGATATCCAACATTCGTGCCAAAACCGTTCTAAAAATAAACTGGTCCGTGAAAACGCCGTCACACAAGCGCATGGAAATTGCTCGCTCCGGGTTATGGGCTCCTGTTTTATGCGGTAAGAACGAGGAACTTTACAAACCCATAAGCCTCCTTTTTTCGTCTTCTCCGGTAGCACCAGATGAAAATAGCAGCACCCAACAGCAGCACAGCGAGGGCAGCACTAACAGATATGTAAATCACCGTGATACTCCTGGGTTTGGTAACTGTAGAATTTTGGGATCAATTTAGGTTTTTGGGAAACTGCCCACCTACCCCTCCCCTAAGCCAACATTTTGCCCTAAGTAAGAAGTAAGTGATATGGCTTAGGGGAGGGGTAGGTGGGCAGATTCCCAGAAACCCAGATTGATCCGAATTTTGCAATGAAATAGAAAAGAAAAGATTGAAATGTCTGATCACAAAGGAATAGTTAAGGGAGCTGTGTCACTAGATTAATTAAAATTCAAACAGTGGGAACCATCACCAGACTTAGTAAAACATAAAATAAACCGCTCAAAACATCTAAAAAAACATGAAAAATTGTCGATATGGATAACGCATCAAATACAAAAGGAGAAACGGATGGGCAAACTTGAATAAGACTGAAACGGCTTTACAACTGTAAGCCGCTAACAGTTCTTCAGAGTTGATTTTTATTTTTAGTAACGTTTGATATGATGCTTAGAGATATATTTGTTTGACAAGACGCTGTAATTTCAATTAAGTTGTAAACTAGGTGTACTACCATTTGTCAATGGAAAGTATACGAAAGGGCTATCGTTTCTGTCAAAAATGGCATATTAAAGGGTAAGGGGTTGGACCCTGAGACGGAGCCTCCCTGTATAAAACTTTGGTGAGTACTCCCCCCCCCCCGGAGTCAGCAAGCCTTTTGTCCGTTATGCATATCGTTATCCAATCCAATCCACTGTAAGTACACCTTAGCAATAGTGCAATTCAACCCCCCCCCCCCGGAGTCAGCAAGCCTTTTGTCCGTTATGCATATCGTTATCCAATCCAATCCACTGTAAGTACACCTTAGCAATAGTGCAATTCACTACTTTAGAAACGAGAAGGAGACTGGACCGTGCTAACTTTCGCAAAGGTTTCTGGGATTGTTACTGTTACTAATCCCAGTAACAGTCCCAGAAGTCTTTGCGAAAATTAACTCGGCCTACTTCCCTTCTCGATTCTAAAGCGGCGAATGACAAACGCAAATTATTTTTTAAAACACGTCATTGGCATACTAAAGAAAATAGTATTTCTCTTTTACTAACCTTTATTGCATAAACTTCCTTCACAGCAGTGTATTCCGTTTTCATCCTCCTCCATTTTATTGCAATATTCTGGCTGAATGCATCCATATTTTTTGTAAAGAAGGGGATCTTGTTGCTTTCCAAAGTAATAACACTTCCCATTGTTGAAAATACACCGACCTACTGCGCATTCTTCAAAGTTTACAGGATCTGTACATTCGTAGCACCGCGGTCCTGAGTCTAAAATGGCGACGAAATTCTTTTTTTAAAAAGGGTCTCACTGTCTAACTGAGATGAAGAAAAAGTGGATTTTTCGGCGAGTTGTTTTTGTTTTCTCCTTAGCCCAGTGCAAGAATTGCGAGGAAAGTAACCCCATAAGGTTGCGTTGTTTCGGGATGTTCCGGATCAGGATCGGTGACCCGAGATCACTCCGATCATAGTGCATTAAAGCAACCGATGAATCCTTGTCTAAAGTGGATTCACTGGTTCCGCTGATGCGTCATTACGAGTTACTTAGATCAATCATCTGGATAATGGTCCCAAAGGATTTCATTCCAAGTCTTCTCCTCCCACTTCCGGCTTCTCTACAATTCATTTATTTCGCGCCTCCTCAATGTTCTTTTCTCACGACCTCCTCCACCACCACCGTTACCACTACCACTACATTCTACATTCTAATAATTAAGAAAAAATGCGTTTCGTGGTAGAAAGAGCTAGTTTACCTCCGTCCTTAATAATCTGCACTATTTTCGTGACAAGAACGGGTGAACCAGAGCTGGAACAATTCGTTTTCCTCAGTGGACAATGAAAGCGACAGGAAATGAACTTGTATAATTACGTTACGACTCAGTGATCTTAGAGAGAGTTGGATTTGAGGACGAGAGTGAGTACGAGTACGAGATTTAACTTAAAGTTTTTGTGCGTCAAAATGAAAAAAATCAAACTGAAGCTTTCTGGGGCGTCTTTTTTTTTCATTAAAAAAGTTAGAACGGTTATTTAATATTCTGAAGGAGGTTAAGCAGTCTCCCGCTGGCAAAATGATAAAACTTCTTAAATTTGATTACTTTTTCCTGCCACTACGACATTCTTGCTAAAACTCGTAGTAAAATGACGAAAGCTATCACGTTTTCCCACCAAAATGACGCTGGTTCATGCGTAATAAGCAATACTCAGAAGGTCTCTATTAAGTCACAGGCCAGTTAGCGCTTACTCCTTCGACAACAGGAATAAACCAATGAATACTTTTCTTAGGTTTTAGTTACCCAATCAAAAACCAAGGTATTCTTTGACCCATGAATAATCTAAAACCTGTCAAACCAGTTAATCTACCCTAAAATATCCATGTTGTCTTAATGAGATTACCACGCATTTAACTCATGATATAAAGACAAAATTCTAAGCTGTTATTGGCGTAAATGTATTCCCTCGCAACTTTATGAGATTTCTCCCGCAAAAACGAAGTCTTAAACATCCTTACAACACTACTTACGGCTAGGCTGCCTCTTTTTAAACAAGACTCAAACTATGAAAACCTCGTTCAAGGTTCTTCTCGTTTTCTAATATGCCGCCGCCATTTTGAAAACGAGAAGTCCCTGGGAACGAGATTGAAAAGTATGCTATTTCGTAGGATAATAAATAATTTCTTCTTACTTGTATTACACTTGTCGTCTTCGCAGCAATCTACAATGCTTCCACTGGTTGCATTAGCATTACACTGGTCTTTGGTAACACATCCCTTGCGATAAGTCGTTTGTATTTTGCCCTCTCCCGTTCTCGATTCATACTTAATTTTTGCGCAGTAATGAACAGGTATGGGGCAATCTACGTCGTCTTGGTTATTTTGGCATTCATCAAGAGATGAACTGTTTTCACATCGATAGCAGGATATTTCTGAAACGGAGAAAAACAACAATTTCGAACAATTAGACCTAGAAATTTGCGCCGAACTCACTAACCCTAGTCACTTTTACTGATAAATATATGCTATTTCCCTTTAAGAAAGGATAACATTTGGGGACTTTTTATTTTCATTTTAAGACCTTTTTTATATGTCGCAGATCATTGATAAATATCAGATAAAATAAATAAATACTGATAACTATATAGTGAAATTCAGTGTAATATTTCCCTGGTGGTCAATTTAAAAAATTTCAATCATTTTGCTATCTGTTGATTTTGATTCAGTTTAGTCCTGCCTTTTTAAACATGATGGAAGTCATCAAGATAATGACTCGGCCATTAATCAGAGGGATGACGTAACCTATATGTCAAATCACATCATCAAGTCTCTTAACTTCTCTAATCCTAGACATTTTTTTATTTGATTGATACACTGCTGATTTGCCAAAAAGAATTTAAAATCTTCCATCACTGTACTTAACAAATAAAGAAGCTTTGATTGTGCTTTTCTCTGCTGTAAAGCACTCAGGAAACGGAAAGAGCACAAAAGATGTGTAGGGCGAACACGAGACGTAAAACAAACTATATTGGCAGGACGTAACAGCTCCTGGTTTTAGGCTCTCATCGAGCACGCTTTATCAACCAACCAGAGTGCGTTTTGAACTTTATTATGAACATTATTGTTGCCAGTCGGTTCCAGAACAACCGAACGCGAGGTCAAACTGAATAGGGTTTTAGATGCTGAGCACTGCATCCAAACTGTAATTAGAGCATGGATTTTGAGCTTTTCCCACCTCACCTGTATTACACAAATCACCATGGCAACATTCCAAGCCTTTTTGGTTGTCAAGTTTTCTGCATAGTTCAGCTGATATACACCCTTGTTCGGTGAATTTTTCATCTTTCGCGCTCTTACTACTGTACTTAAAACAGAGACTTTCTGGAAATGAGCAATTGACTTCAGTGGGAACAGATGACATGTTCCTTGGGCACTTATTATGACAAACTTTACCTAAAAAAAAAAGCAACGTTTTTTAATTCTGGACTAAAGACTTTAACACATTACCAAGGCCTGGGGAGGAGAGGGGAAAGTACTCAACAAAATTTTATCAGGGAAGGCTCCGCCCCGAGGGGCACCCTTTACCCTAATACTAATTTTTGACAAAAAAAGGACCTCTTACGCATACCTTTAATTGACAAATGGCATCCCTTTTACATACCAATTAAGAAAGCTGCATCGTTTTAAACGGCAGTAAATGTACCGCCTTTAAGCTATTAACAAGTCGCTAAACCAGACAGTTTCCTAGTGTTTTTCACAGCCATAAAATGCACTTGGGACCGCAATGAAAGATTTCCCGAACCTTTTATGTACTTTAACAAGAGTAACCTCTACCCTTTAATATACCTGAAGCCTGAAAAAGGCACCTCTTTCTGGCGGAGCCTCCCCATATAGGCCATTTTAGCAAGTATCCTCAGATACCAAAGTTACTGATTGTTTGAAAAGGAATTTTCATAATAAGAAGCATGGGCAACAGAAACGTTTTTTCTTCTTTTTATCCGAGCAGAGTCTAAGATACCGTTGGTTTTGTGCTGTTTTTGACCGGCGTAAAAGGCCGAGATGAAATTTTATGTAAAAATATTGGTAAGGAGACCTTGCTTCCCTCATTTGTTTTAAATTAAAGCTACTTCGTGGCCTTCAAATGGAAGTGTGCCACCATAATGAAATCACACCTGGGACGGGCTTTTCACAAAGATAAGCATGCCTTTGGCCACAGTCACGGTCTGTCTTTCTATTATCTGTCTTCGAGACTGTGCCACATAGTTTGGTTCCTTGGTCGATCCAAATGTCCTTTAAAATAAAAAAATAAAAAAAGCAACTAACCTATTATATCATTAATAAAGATGATGATGATGATGATGATGATGATGATGATGTACTAACTATAGTTTTTTTCCGTTTCTTTCCCGTGAGCCACCCACGTTTCATTGGCCCCTGGCTGGCTCTAAGTGTTAAAAGGTGAATAACTAAGCACTAAGCACTTTTTGAAAAAATAGGGCCTGATGACAGCGATGAGCAGTCCTAGAACATCATGTGAAGCTTGTCTAGGACCTGTTTCTATCATTGAAGAGCGGTTGAGTCCACATTCATGCTAGTTGGTCTATGATTGATTATAACATGTCATAAGGCGTCCCTCTACCCTCTGCATGTATAGGTTCTCAGTAGGGTATGCTACTGAGGTAAAGATTTAGAGGCATTTAGTACCTCTACAAAATATTTCATCATTTCCGATTGGCTGATCAATTTTTCGTGTATTTTCTCATAATTAGCAGAAGCCTACCATATTTGCGAGATAGAGGACAAAACCAGCCAATTCAATCAGGGTCATAGCCCTCCTCGATCTGCATAATTGTTGTTATCATACTCAGCTTTATTCAGTAATGGACAAATACTATATTTTTTATATCCATATTTATTTCATAGTGCTACCTGTTTTTTGGTCACTTTTACTTAATTCAGCTACCTCTTTGAAATTAATAGTGTCCAACAGGCGGGTCAGGAATCCCGTGTCAGTTTTGTTTACAGTACTATTTATTTTCACCAAATTGCTTCCAGAAGCAATGCATTCCTTTTTTGCTTCTTCCCATGTTTTTACAGTGCTGTGGTTATAGTAGCAAGATGATCCATTCAGATGTCCTTCATCATGATCAAGCGAGCAACTCAGAGGACCTAATGGATAGGACAAATTAAATATAAGGGCTTCAAATGAATGTCGTTTAATTTTCAGAGCCGCCTGTGTCCCCTAGTGACTGAAAAATATCTTTCTCATGTATTCACCAGGCTTAAAATTCACCGTCACATATCCATCATTGCGTATAAGCACATACCGAGATTATAGTCCTTGAAGTATGCAGGGTGTTTGTCAGGGGCACCCAACGACGGTTTCCTCCTAAATACATTGACAACACTTTTTGGCTATCCAGAACACTTTTAGACCTTTATAAGTGCATTCTAAGCGGCGCTATAAAAATTTTTTTCTTTTCGATCATCCCAGGGGAACGTAAATCTTTCCAAATTACAAGGGCTTCAGTATATTATTTTCCCGAAAATTTTAAAAGCGACTTAACGTATATCGAGAGTTCTAATTTTTCTGATTACTCCCCCCATCACATTTTGCATCCGAAATTGTAGGTTTTTTTATCTACGAAAAATAGCCTAGCCTGGGGAGTGAAATGTGAAAAATTTAACGTCAGAAAATCTTAGGGAAGTTATTGGACAAGCTTAGAAAATTGTTCATGAATGGAACGTTCATCTAGAAATTTGTTTAGCCGTCCCCAAGTAACAGAAAACTTTAGGCAATATTTGCTTCTCCCAAGGAGATATTTTGCAGAAAACATTCGTTGAGTGCCCCTGGTTTGTCACATGACCCTAGTTTAGTGGCCTTAGCACTCACGAGTATCTTGTAGCTCAGTAGTAGAGCGTCTGTACTAGCAACCAGAAGCTCATAGGTTCTACTGCATTTTGGAGTACTCAGACTTTTTTCTTTCGAGCCGCCTTTGTTACGAATGAAAAAACATCTTTCTCATAGATCTTATCGTCCTATTCCCAATAAAATCTGTAACTATGTAGTCGATAACTTAACCAGTCACACTATCCACCGGATAGAGAATTATCTGTGGGATAGCGTTAGTTAATCTTTGAACAACTGGCGTCAGAGCCTTCATGAATTTCAGCCGTTTTCTCAAGTCTCCCTCGGCAGCAGGGCTCTCTCCTCCGCGGAGGCCTCGAGGCTGGGGAGAAAGAAAAAGAGAGAGCGCAACCATCCCATCGTCCCCCGCGCGCTTTCTATTGGAGCCTCTCGGGAAGAGAGAGGAAGTAGGGTTCGAGACAGGGAGAAGGATCTCTTTCGGGAGTTTGCAACTCGAGAAGACGGCTAAAATTCAGGCAACCAGAGCAGTAGCTCAGAAACTAAGCGAACATGTTGAAACGTTTTTGTCCAGCACGGTAGAACAGTACTTCGCATTGGCTGAAAATTGGATGAAATATTTAGTGAGCACTACAAACGCATATGAGCGCGTAATTTGTTTAGTCAAAAATCTTTACAAAAGTTGCATTATTACCGATTTTTGCAAGCATCAACGAATTCATTATTGTAAAGGAGCAATTCATTTGGCTTTGTCAAATCCTTTTGGCAAACATTTCTTGGCACTGTTGTCCCTCATATATAGGCCTGGTTACTTTCTTTACGTATTTAGAAGAAACTCACCTTTCGGTCTTTCACAGATGTAGTACTTGGTCTTGTTACAACATTCAGTAAGGTTCCAGCAGCCATCTCTCAATAGTTCCACGCATTTGGTCTCATTGCCATTAAGCTTACTTGTTGTGTTTCCATACCACTCGACGGATAAAGAATGATTAAAAGCACTTCCATCGCTCCACGAGTATATACCCTTCGGAAGCCGATGAACCAACCCAATCCAAGCAGATTGAGGGCTGTTTAAATCCGAAGACGACAGATTTTGAACAAATTCCTTTTCCGTTTCACTTGTCATGCTAACAAGATAACCTCCATACCCCATACACGCGCGTGACGCTTTTAACCAACCGCCGAATATCTTGGAATTTTCAGTTTGCGGCATCACCTTGTAGCAAGAACGTTGAAACTCAGTCCAACCATGAGGGCAATGTAAAGCTAGAGAAAAATGAACAAATTAAAATTAATAAAGTGATCTTTGTCTCTAACGATAAATTTCTTCGATTTCCTTGTTTCAAATCGAGAAGGGATGTACAAGTCGGTTTTATAAACAACACCAGATCCAAATAGTCAGAAAGAGCACATTGGAAAACTTCTTTTCTGCCCGGCAGCTGGTAGTCTACCAAACATCCGTTTTTTATTCACCTTTTCTATATTTAAATTTTTAATTATTTCTTAACAGTTGTAAATTTTTGTTTTTATTAGTCTTTTCTTAGTTCTAGGCTATAGTTTTTAATGATACTAGTTGTAAATTTTGTTTTTTTCTAGCCTTTTTAACACCTAGATAGAGTCTATTTGTGGGCCATTGTATATTGTAACGCAGGTTTTATCTCTGGACTGAAGTCATACTGATCATATTTGAAGTTCGGATGCAAAATCGAATAAAGAATGCAAAGAATTCACCATTTTCACATTGCCCGTCATACAACATAAAGGCATTGTCGTCAATTTCTCTTGGGACGACTATGATCTATGATAAAGCCTTTTCGCTCACATGGTTAGTATCAATACAAAATTATTGGAACAAAAGAAAGCGTTCAACTACCACTGGATTGGTTTGGAACAACAACAAAGCCACCGTGACGTCATGTGTAAACGCTCTGAACAATGTTATGCAAATTCCTTTTGGGGGGGGCGAGGGGGGGCGGCGAACTAGAGTTATAACGAGTTGGAATATGACTTACCAGCATGAGATATAGATGTCACGAGCAGCAGTGAGACGAACAAGTGTATATTGGTCATTGTGACTCAGATCTAAGGTGAGAAGGAAAGGATTTTTATAATAAGCAGGAGCCCATGAACCGGAGCGAGCAACTTCCATACTAGGCCTATGTCACGGCGTTTTTAGGGACCAGTTTAATTTATTTTTAGACATTTTAGGGCACTTTTTCCTGCGAAAATAGAATCTTCACCAAGTCTATGAGCCCATTCGAAGTATAAGATATCAAAAAGGAAAACTAAATGTTATTAAAAGGCAAAAAATATATTATCTAGGTCTGTAGGTTTTGCTGACAGGTTTGTGGAATTTACCAGATATTCAAAAATTTGTGCCAAAACCGTTCTAAAAATAAACTGGTCCGTGGAAACGCCATGACACGAGCGCGTGGAAGTTGCTCGCTTCGGATTATGGGTTCCTGTATGAGGGTCTGAATGGGGGGGTCCACTTGTCGGTTGTCGGTTAAAATTCAGGTACTTTGTCGGTAGTCGGTTAAAATTTTCGATCTTTGTCGGTAGTCGGTTAAACTTTTTGATTTTTGTCGGTTGTCGGAAAATCTCTGTTAATAAGCAAAAACGCTTGTTAATTATTAAGATTTTTATGTATTTCATCCAGTTTCAAGACTTTAATCCGTAAGGAAAGAGTAAAACTTGTAAGAATGCATCATTTGATTGCACTTAAACTTCATTAACTCTTGTTTGTTTATGCCACATGATCATTTATTTCACCATTGTTTGCTAATTGATATCATGAGTACTGATAAAATCACCAAACCTTCTATTGGAAATGCCAACTTGGTTTCCCTGTCGATTACAGGGCACAGTAAAAAGTAATTAATTAATTAATGGACTCCAGCCTTTTGGATACTTAAATTATTCTTAGTGAAAAACTGCAAGGGGTGACAGGATGCACATCTATACCTTTAATGTTTTGGCTCTAACAAGCATGTCCTTTGCTCTAATTTTCAAGAAATAACACTTTAACCCTCGGACGTA